AGATAGCAGGGTGAAAGTAATGATGCTTGGTTGTAACCGATAAGCTATCTCCCACATCAATGCACAATGGGGCCCTTGTGAGCGTCGTAGTAAAGCAGGGCAGTTAGATGGAAGGGCCCATTAAATCGTCATAAACACATACTGTAACTGGATTATGTTGAAAGGAAGCTTTTGTTTTCAAGGTGGAAAAAATAAACAGGTGAGCTGTGGTTTAAAAAAAAAAAAAAAAAATCCACATAGTTGGAATTCCCCGGTTGAGATAAGCTAAAAATGTTTCTGTTTCGGTCATGTTTTTCTGTTTCGACTTATGCCAGTTGTTTAAACTTTTCTTAACCCTTTTGTCACCTATTATTCCATTAACTAACACTTAAGCACACAAGCTAACATCCAAATAAAGAGAACAAACATTGTATTCATTTCAACAAGCTACCTGGGCGAATTTGTTTGGAATCTTGGTGAGATTTGGTGTGGAAGAAAGAATTTGAGAGCCCTGACCTCAACCACATAATACATCTTTGGCATGAATTTGAATTTTTAAAAAATTCTTGCGAACTTGAGATGCAAACTCAACTCTCGTTTGCAAATAGTGAACAATTCTTCAAAAAAGAAGCTTCAAACTGCTAATTGCTATCCCCAGATGAATTTACTGGCAAAATAAATGCTAAACAGCAAAGTACATTTGGTGTATTTAAAAGAGAGCCTTTGCGTCTACCAGCCATTTTTAACACCTCTTGTCCTGAACAGGGCCGCGAGGAGAGACAAACAACCATTCACACCCACTCCGTCACTGAGCGGGAACTGATCCCACACTTCTAGGACACAGGTCAGGCGAGTGTACCACGACACCATCAGCGTCTTTACTAGCTTATTGCAGACACTAAATAGCATATACGATGCTGTGTAATCAGCCTTTTAGCAATGGATTGAACAAATGGTGCAGCAACACGTGTAGATATCTATCCATCCATCCATTTCCTAATCCACTTCTCGCCACAAGGGTCGCGGGTGTGCTGCAGCCTATCCAAGCTGTCTCCGGGCAGCAGGCGGGGGACACCTTGAATTGGTCGCCAGCCAACTGCAGGGCACACATAGACAAACAACCATTCGAGCTCACACTCACACCTAGGGACAATTTAGAGTGTTCCATTAATCTGCAACGTATGTTTTTGGAATGTGGGAGGAAACCGGAGTACTCAGAGAAAACCCACACAGACACGGGGAGAACATGCAAGCTCCACACAGGAATGCCGGAGCCAGAATCGAACCCTGTACTCCTGCACTCTGAGGTGAATGTGCTAACCAGTCAGCCACCGTGATATGGATTGGCAATTTATCAGTACCCGTCATATTTTTTTTATCCTCTGCATTGAACGATTAATATTAGTATCGTACTGATGAGCTGAGAGGAGTTGAGACTTCTGTCCCCAAAAACACAAAGTGGAAAAATGACCAAGCGGCGGCTCGTAACTTGAATAACTTGTAAGTTGACGGACATGGAAGTCAACATACCCCTGTACTTAATTTAATTTTGTGTAAATTACTTGCATGACTCCTTTGCCAGAAGGGGGAGAAATCTCATGTGAGAATTTCCCACCCTTTTGCTACTCAACAGCTCTTGAAACTGCTGAGTTCTTCCTGATTTGAGGGATGTGACTGTGAAGCAGGGCTGGATTTCATATGGCAAAGCTCAATATTGGTTAATAAATAATGGTGAAAGGGTACAATGCGTAGGAAAAGAACTATATTACTGTTATCTCCTTAATGAGACAACATTAATTTTGAACTCAAGGTCTGGCAGAAAGCAAGCTGATTTATGGCCTCCCTTTAACTTCCCTGAAATTAGTCTAATTACCTAGAGGACGGCGAGCTGCTTGTCGCTGCACAGGAAGCCCATTGTGCTACAGCTTCATTTATCACACCCCAGGCCTAGATGATTGTGTGATGTGCTGCAGGCCTTCTCGGGGAAAGCTGCAGACTGAATCATTCAGTGGTGTGTTGAATGTTCCATTGCTACAACTGGCTTGACTGAATGAAAGTTCCTGAGCGGATAATATACAGTGGACCCCCGTTTGTCGGCTCACGCTGTTCACAAGTCGATTTATTGTCTGCTGAGGCATGGCATCCCATCCTTCTTGAAGGGCAGCCCTCAGGTTGTTGTGGTTCTGGGGAGTTTTGAGCCTCTACACGGTGACTCAGCTGCAGGGCAGAATCACTATCACTGAATTAATAATGTTATTCAAGTAGGATGGGCTTGTCACTGCACCATTCACAAAGTGTCGGGCAGTTCTGCAACGAGTGGACACACACTGTAACACCGCCACCACCAAAAGCTCATCTGGTGACGACAGTGGCTAATGCGTAGCGCTCTCGACGTCTCAAACATCGTTGCCGGCTATCATTTCTGCTCAACGTGAATCGACTTTCATCAGAGGACAACACTGGGGCCTACTGCTCCCTCGTCCAGCGTAAATGCTCCCTGGCCCATGCAAGGTGATGAAGCCTGTGCCTGGTGGTGTGGTGGTGGTGCCTCCCACCTCCCTTCAACGTGCTTGGTGTTGAGTGCCATTCATCCGGTTTCTCAGGGCATTGTTCACAATGTAGCGGTCATCAGCATGGGATTTGGCCAAAGGACGTCCATTTCTTCATCTTTCTGTGCCTCTTCCAGTCTCACGATATCTCTTTTGCAACCTACTGATGACACTGTCACACTCTCAGTTCATTGGCCACTTCAGTCTGAGAACATCCTGTTTGAAGCACCACAATGATCTGTTAATCCATTGTTTGGTGTTGTCTCGGTCTTATGATGTCAAAACGTGAAAAGAAAGATGAGGACGATTTTTCAAACACCAAGTCGAACAGAACCAGGACATTTACTGGTCGATTCAATGGTTAAACGCGTGTTATGTATTTTACCGTTAAGCTCCTCGCTAGATAACAGCAACTTGTGCAAAAAGTACTGAAACAGTTGGACATGTGCATTCAAAAGCTCACCTGAAAGCCAAATATCCCTAACTTTTTCTGATTCAGTGTGTAATGCTAAACAGAACTTTTTTTTTTTTTTTTTTGCATAGATGATATTTTTAAACAGATCATTTCACTCATGTATTACTGTCAGGTTATATTGACCGTTATATCATGTATGACAAATTTCGAAATGTTTTTTGGGGTGGAGAGATTCACAAACTCCCCCTCTTTGTGGCTTTATTCATCCACTGTCATTGCATTTGTTTTCAAGGCCCGCGGCTGGAAGTCAGGCAGTTGGAGAGCAAAGCAGGATCAGTAATCGGGCAGGTCACATTATCTCCTTGCCGCGGTAATGATTGAAAAATCAGCCTGTAATTGCTGATAGGCCCTGTAATGTTTCAGTTAACTTCTGTTGGCGGCAAGGTTTACTGACACATAACGCTTCGATAAACCGCCGCTTTGTAGAGCCGGCGTGTCTCTTTGAACCGATCGTGTTCTCACGGTGAGAAAGGTGTGCGGGCGTAGACGGAGTGGTGCGCAGAGTTCAAGAGGGCATGCGTGAAAGTGGAACAAAAGCATGTAATGAGGGATTTAGGCTGTGAAAATGAAGCTCCCGGTGAAAGGGTGCAAAGCCATGTTTGATGATGATGATGATAATGATGATGATGAATGTTTGTTACGGCATTCTAGTTGACTGACCTCTGAGAGGGGTCACAACTAAATCACTTTACTGTCATTTTATCATTTTGAATTAGTTTTTAGCTTTTTGACACTCAAGTCAAGGCAGAGGTGACAGACATACAAGTTCACGTAACTCGCTGAGTGAAGAAAGCTATTTTGGATTGAGGAGATGGTAAAGTTAAAAATAACATACTGTGACTATTTCTTTTTTTGTTGAAAATAACATGTTTTTCTGACTTTTTAACCAGTAAAAAAAAAAAAACTACACAAACGCTGTTACTTTGTGATTAGATGGTCAAGGGCGTCGAGGCAGAACTTTGCACCCAGTGCAAAGGCTTTCCGCTCACAAAACAACCAACAAGTCTCAAAATAGATTCACCTTCAAGCTATGGCAGCACAGAACGACCCCAGAGTGAGTGAGTTTGTGTTTGCTGTAATGTCATATTTCATGGATCTGATCATTGACGTCATTTATCGATCACGCAAATTATGGCATCAACAATTTTGCATACAATTAAAACTATCGACCAATTTCGATACACTCGATCAAATTTTCTCTTTGTTCTTTCTCATAAGACAAATCAGCGCACCAGCTGAACAACGAAGGGGCACTAGTAGTACAACTGTGTCTCATCGGTAAAGTTTTTGTTCCACTATTGTGTGACATTTACACACTGGATTGACAATGTTCCTAAACTAAAGTACAAGTGGGCAGTTTGGTGCTACTTGTAGGGTCAAGAATGTCAGTAGTGCATGACATATGCCCAGGGCCGTGACATTGAGAATTCTGGGAAATAAACGGCCGCGTAACAGGGACGGCCCAAATCGACAAATAGATTTAGGGCACAGTACTTTCCTGCATATGCCTATTAGCACGGCAGTTTTTTATTCAAGTACATTTTTTCCCAATTTTTAAGTCCAGTGTCTATGTTCAAACTATGAACACACACACATATATATGTATGTAGATTTAGATATAGATATAGATTTATGACATTTGCAACGCTGATGAGCCATTGGGTCCAGCCATTGTTGGGAAATGCAATTGACACTGGAAGAAGAGGCGCCTGCCCTCACAGCCTATGATTCAATTTAATTTGGGGGCTGCTGTTGACAGGCCTGGGTGAAGGATGTCACCTTTCTTTGACCATTCAAATTACTTTCCAATCGTAAAAGCAAGCCAGGGGGGTTTGGGGAAGGATGACGTTGCGAGGCGCACTAAATTCTTTGGGGCAAATTACCAATGTTTGAGCAGCAAGGAGGTAATCTGCTGATAGAGAGCAGAGGGCAAGAGACGGAAGGTTACGATGGGCAAAAAGGCGGGTGGGCAGATGAAGGGGGGCTAAGGGGGCGGACATGCTTCTAGCTTCAATTTTCTGGAGGTCGGCTCCACTCATGGCTCATGATAGATAGAAGCAATGTAGAACCTCAGAACCGTTGGCTTCAATACTAATCATTTTCCATGCACACATCATATGTTATGGGTCAATTTTGACCCAAGCCAAGAATATCCTCAGAATAATTGTCAATAGATGATTAAGGAGAACAGATCTTTTCAAAATGTACAACTAAGCAGTCTGACAGTTATTCACATACACACTGCGCAGTGGACATGCATTGCCAGAAAATGTGAGCATGCTCATGAGTGACCCTGCGTCCACATTTATCTCTCACTCCCTCTCTCTCACTCGTACACATTACAAATTCAGTGTTATAAGCAGATAAGCCATTTAAAGTCAATTAAACACAAGGCTTAGTTTTCAAAGAGTTGTAGGCGGCGCGTGTGGGCACTTTTCGATACGCGACGGACCTTCCCAGCCGATGCGCTATGTTTCAGATTGTATTACAACTCAACATGCCAGGCCCCATAAACTGTCACACTCTTGAGTTGGCCGTTATTAAACAGAACAAAATGGCTGCCACATGCTCCAGCTTGCCCTGAGAACCGTAACGATGCACGCGCAACAGAATGTGACAAAACTTTAGAGGACCGTGGCATGCGTCTCATATTTGAGGTAAATTTTAACTCTGGAAAGTCATAATAGACTGCATAATATGACTCTTGTGCCAAGCAGAAGATATGGCCGGTCGTAGCAAACAAGTCTTGCAAGATCCAAAATTCATTTTTAACAGATGCTCCCGCTCCTTTTTTCTGTTTAAAATGGCATTAGTTCACATGAAGCTAATTAACTTATAGCCTCTTGCGTGGAGTTATTATGTTTTTATATGGTCTGTGTGCAATGCTAGGTCATAAACTTTAATGGCTTCTTGGATGACCGTGAGAATGAAAGGAGCCATTAATATAAATGATTTAAAAACTGCACATGGTGTACTTTCTTTGCTGCGTCCTCCAATCAGCAATTTTGGTAGGCTCGGGGTGTTTGCTTCACCATAAATTTGATGTCTTTGTTAGCTACTCCATACTGACTGTGAAAATCTGTTTGACCACTCACTAAACATGTGCAAATACAAAATCACTTTTTAACTACATTTTTTTTTTTAAATCATATTTTCGGGAGGCTACCTCATTTGGCAACTTTGGGGCTAAATATATTCGAAGCGGTCCTCAATTATGATGAAATGCAGCTCTACATCATTGCACAGTACAGTACAGCCATAAGAATAAATATGCTGTATGCAATTTCTGTAGAAATGTGTGAATGCTGAATAGGTGAAGCCAAATTGAAATGTTCTAGAATTTGTTGTTGAAATGTTAACAGTGAGACTTGAAATTGTTTGAATCACTTGAGAAATGTGGGAGGAGGAGTAGATGTGTAAACTAATTAATTCCTCAATTTTAATAATTGTCACTGTGGAAAATTGGGACCTTTGGAGATGTGATTAACAGCTCCCAAGATCTTCTGAATGAGCTGAATAGATTGATGTTGAAATGGTTGGTTTGAACGGGCAGAGAAAATGTTTAAGGAAGAGATGAATATGATCAAGATCAATTTATTTTGGAATCCTATTGTTATAATTTGGGGATTTAGGAAATGTGATAAAAAGTTCCAGATGTGATGAATGAGCTGGAATGGTTTAGGTTGGTCAAGAAATGTGGAAGGAGAAGGTTAATGTGTAAATATCTTAGATTTGGATAGTTCATTATGAAAACTGGGGAGGATGCAGGACGCACATTCATGGAAATAGTTCCCAAGATGTTCAAAATGAGCTGAACACTTGGAATTTGGAATGGGACATAGTTAACTTATTTGTTGAACGTCTCATTTACTTAGATTGTTTTTTTTTTTGTGTGTGTGCTTGGAAAATGTGTACTTTTGGGGAAAGTGCTGAAAGTAATTCCTTACACATCCTGAATTTTGTGACATTTGAAGTTCAGTTTAAATCCATTGAAAAATGTGAAAGGAGAAACACTGGGGATTACAATAAAACACTTTTTTTTTTGTGTGTGCATAATAACATATTGTCAAGTCTGTCAGTGTTATTCAAGACTAAGCATTTTTATCTTTATAAAGGCAGAATGTGCTGCATCACGGGGTTGTGCAGATAATGCCTTTAATGACCTTGTGGCCAGTTAGTGTGCAATCTCATGATATAGACATCTGACAGCCACGTTATATACGGTACCGCAGTGCAACTAACAGGAGCCTAACAATTGACTAATTATCTAATGTAGCCCTGCAAGCTTTGATGCAGCTGAAGGTGTTTGCAGGCAGGACAAGGGTTGGACATTACCTCACTCACAATGCTTTCTTTGGGGGGGCGGGGGAGAGAAACGAGCGGGTAATTAGCTGATTAGAGGCCCGTCAGAGCCAATCCCGGGTCGGCCCCCACCCAGGCCTGCAGGGCTGGATGGACGGATTGACGGACGGATGGAGACAGAGAAGGAGCCGAAGAGAGGGAGGGAGGTAGGAAAGGAACTGTGTTGACTGGGAAATTTAGGTTGAAGACGGACACTATCCCATTCGGCTCACTTATAAACTCAATCTGCAAGACGGCAGAGGGAACAGAGTGATCTGCGGGCAGGAATTACTTCAACGTGACATATGCGTTCGTTAAATTGCCTTGATAGGAGGTGAAAGCGCTCTGCAGGTGTGCACCCGCTAAATTTATCGACTTCTTTCCAACTCCTCATGGAGAAATCGAAAAACTTTCGCATCGACGCCCTGCTCGCGGACGAGCCCAACCGGGCCAGCCGAGACGTGTCCCCGGGCCTGAGCTGCGACAGTCCGACTGGGAGCCCCGTGGCCTGCCGCCGCGGGGACACGCCGTCCCCTCGGGCCGCCGCGCAGCTCCACGCGTCGGGAATGATCCCCAAAGCAAGCGTTCTCAATCTCGCGCACGCGGGACTGGCGTCCATGCCCCAGGCTGCCATCCCGGGCATTTACCCAGCACCCATGTACCCGTTGTCGGCTCTGGGTGGCCAGCACCCTGCCTTCGCTTACGGCGGCTTTACGCAGCTGACTCACGCCTACCCGGAACACCTGAAGGCGGCCGCGGCCATGGCGGGCTCGGTGCCACTGGAGCACTGGATCCGGGCGGGGATTATGATGCCAAGACTGCCAGATTACAGCGGTGAGTCTTTCTAAAGAGCCCCTCGCCCCCTTTTTTTTTTAATAGGACAAAAAAAAGTAGCTTCAATCAATATTCATCTTCTCAAAATAAACAAACAACGTGATGACATTCAATGCACTGCTTCTCAAACTTTGTACACTAAGTACCACCACCCTAAAAATACAAAACTCTCAAGTGTAGGAACACCAGAATGACCAACACTAAACTACAATAACTAGAAGTGTTTATGGAAAGGGGCACACAGCACAATTGCAACACAGTTTTAATATTTTTGCTCAGGCACTCTTAACACATGCTGCTAGGAAAATAAAGGACTACTGAACGATTCAATTAAATTATATTGCGCATAACAGTTAAATAAAAATTATATACCTGTAAATCAGTGTTTGGAAACAAAGCGTTTTAAAAGATAAGATGCAGTTGTACTACAATGTTATAAATAACTGAACTGAATTTAACAAGTGTACTCACCCGGATGAAGAAAAAGTTTCACCTAATGCCTAATTTGAACATTACATTTATACTTTTACTGCTAGATAGAAGATGAGATTTCATCATATATAATTTTTGATTACCATTAAAATATCCATTTATTACTGTATTTTGAAGTTTAAGATTTGGTTAAACTGTGTTTTAGTGTCATCTGAAAAGCTTGCTTCCATTTGACAAATCCCATGATAGAAATTTTAGATTTTCTCAATTAGGTGTTTTCACTTGTGGGCTTTTCTACCATCACTTTACTTCATGCCCTTTAACACTGTCTTCTCATTCACCTTATGAAGTAACAACTGAGAGTTCAGTATTTAGCTCACGGACACCTCAGCATGGTAACAAGTGCTCACGATGGAACCCACAACCGTACGGATTGGGAGACCACGCTTCTCCTTGAACCATGCCACCCCACAATGACCCCTTGTAATTTCCCTGTATTTTTAAGCATCATTAGCAGCGTTATCTCCAAATAGCCTATTCTTCAATCTGCTCCTCAAAAAACACATTCAAGGAAGGTCTATTTTTTGCCATTACCTAATTGAGTTTTTTTTTTCTCCGTTCTCAATGTTAAAAGCTATGGCAATATATGGTTGGGATAAAAATCAGGCCAATGCTAACTCGCTAGCTTTTTATTTTTGGATTTAAGTACATGTGAGTCTCTACTATTTTACTTTTCTGTCAGTGTTTGCAATACATCCGTACGTTCTCCGCTTTACTAGAGGGTCTCATATTTTAATTTTGCCCTGTCTGTCTCTATAAAGCGCAAACTGATGAAAACTGTCTCTGTGTGACAAAGAAATGAATAAACAAACGCCTAACACGTTTTGTAGTTCATAAATAAAATCCCAACGCCGTCACTGAATTTTCATTAAGTTAATGGCAGGCTTGTGATTTTATGGCCCATGTGCCGACTTCTGCATCTGTTGTGTTGACCGTCTGCAATAAACTGGAGTAAAACCTTACAGTAAATGACGGCCGCATGATGCTGCCATATGCGTGTGCTCCCAACCTATGAAAATAATATTGAGCTTCCACTGGTGTAGGCATTTGGCAGAAGATTTCACACTTGTGCAAAACTTCACTGACTCGAGACATCAATTGAGTGGAATTGTGCTTCATCAGTGTAAGAAGTGAAGAGGCAATTGAGTGCAGCACTGTCAAAACTATGGCAAAGAGGCCATTTCTGGCACAAGGTACCTTTTTTTTTTAGCTGCCCACGGCATGTAATGAAAATGACATTTGACACTGCTGGCAATGTTATTGAAAACAAAAACAGTGGGAGGTGAGCATCACTGAGTAAAGTGAGGATTTGTAAAAAGTCGGGGAGCTGTAGTCAAAGTGTGGTGCGCGAGCTCCCTCTAGTGGTACACAAAAGAATCAATAGCCAATTACAGTTCAGTTGTACTTAACTTTAAAGATCATCCATTTGCATTTAATCATCAAACCCTTTTTGTGTATAGGCCTTTTTAGGGACAATTTTTATTTAAATTATATGTGCAATTTGTTTGACAGTTTTTTTCCCCTGTACTTTTTGTTCATAATGTCAGAGTGGTTCACAATATTAAATATAATTTTTAGGAATAAAACTTGTGCCTCTCATTTCTGATGAGCACTTTTTACGACCCCTACAATGCTACCGCATTTTAAAATTGGTAGGAGGAGAGCGAAGTATTTTTTTAGGTGGTACAAGTAAACGCAATTTTAAAGACTGTCAACCTACAATAGATTTCTCTTGATTGAGTTTTGGACGCGGCGAACTCCCAAATGCAGGTTTCGGTCTATTCTAGTGGGATAGAGGATCACAGGCCAACTTCAAATCCTGAAAAATCATAAACTTCTTGCCTTATCATTTTTAACAGAAAGCTATGGTGAAGCAGTTTCTTCCCCAAATAACTGTAATGTATGTAAAAACAATCAACAATAATTTCTTGATGGATTCATTTTAGAATGTTGAAGAAAGACAAAATGGCCCTTGCATCCTTTGATTTTGCCCTCTTATAAGCTTCTAAAAAAAACAAACAAATACCGTGATATAATAAAGAATGAGAAATTATCAATTGTTCTGTATGTGACCTGATTAGAGTGCATACGGCTGTAACTGTGACAGTAATTTTTGTTCCTTCAGCAGGCCCCCAGTCTGGTCTGCTCGGAAAGTGCCGAAGGCCTCGCACGGCCTTCACCAGTCAGCAGCTGCTGGAGCTGGAGAACCAGTTCAAACTCAACAAGTACCTGTCCAGGCCCAAACGTTTTGAAGTGGCCACCTCTCTTATGTTGACAGAAACGCAGGTAACACACCACCCCTCCTGTATGGCTGCTGAAAAGCAGTGGACACCAAAATTTGGTATCATCATTAGAATTATCATTTGTCGCGACACAATTTGTGTGCACTCTGACTGCCACATTTATCACCTGATTCAAATCATTCAAAATATTCACAAAATTTAAACTGGAAGAATCCCCACATGATCCCAATTGCACAATTTTACTAACTGCCACTTTTTAACAAAACAAAAAAAAAAGACCTCAAAGTTTTCTGACTTTAAAATGTTCAGCTCATTCCGGGAATGTTAGGAACTATTTCCATTGTCCAAGTTTCCGATTGTGCCCAGTAAAATTCCCAAATTAAGAGTTTTACATGAACCCTCACTTCGTCCACATCCCTCGACTGATTAAAACCATTTCAAGCCTCACCCTCTATGTTTCAACATTTTAGTTGACTCCGCAGCATTTTCAGTTCAAATTCATCTTTTTATCATTCACATACAATTTCTACCGGTACTGCAATGACCACTTTTAATTTGATGTACTGTTTATAATCCCTGAAGGGGGGCATAGTCATTTACTTTAGACAGAATTGTGTGCATGTCTTCACACACAAACTGTGCAAATTTTGATGTACACTTGTATTATCTGTGGGCTTGGTGGTCAGGTCAAGATCTGGTTCCAAAACCGGAGAATGAAGTGGAAGCGGAGTCGGAAGGCCAAGGAGCAGGCCAGTGCTTCTGGCCCGTCTGAAGCTGGTGGAAAAACATCCAGTAACAAACCCGGCGAGAAAAGGCCTCAGCATGCGAATCCAGAGGACTGTGGTGTGGATCTACTTTTGGAGGATGGTGATGAAGAAGAGGAGGAGGAAGAGGAGGAGGAGGAGGAGGAAGAAGAGGAAGAACCCCAGCACGGTTTTTCAGTGGTTATGGGGAACCGAGTTGGGATGCCGAGATCCATGGACTTCATGCGGCGCAGCGCGGATGTGGGCTTCACCCCTCACAGCCCTTTCACTGAAGACGAACTAGATGGAGTGCAAGCAGGGGGAGGAGGAGGAGACAGGAAGATGGTTGCGGGACTGTGAGAAGACTGGACATTTGATGTCAGGGACACTCATTTGAAGGCAGAGGCCACAATTGTGAACAACCAGAACATTTGTTGTTAATTTTTCATGCTCACATATCATACAATATCCTCTTAATAATTGTCTGGATGAAAGTAGGACCTCCAGATCTTTTCAAACTATCGGTATAGTAATAGCCACTCTAGTATTAATGAATGGATGAGTAATCCTTTAAAAAAACAGTTTCAGAGAAAGGGGAAAATGTATTTTATTTCCACTGTTTTGAGATTTCACCCATGACCCTTCAAAAACAAACTGGTGCTTCACTAGGGCCCTTGGAAAATGTGGTGAGACACAGCCAGTTCTCAAGACTGTTTCAAACTCTCCCCTGAACATCATCCCCACTGTCTCTTATAAATACACATATATGTCTATGTATCTAGATATCTATACATATGTACATATATATGTATATATTTACGTACACGTGCGGTATATAAATCATGCGACTAATTACAATTAAAAATTGTAATCGACTAACAACCTTGTGTGGTGTCCTCCGGAATCACCGTCAACACTGTCCCATATACAGTAGATATACACACACATTTATGTCATTCGGACTGTTTTGAGATCCCCGTGAACCATCAATGGCTAACAGTTGCATGTTTCTGCAGAAACCTGTGAAAATGTGGTGGTGGGTACACAAGCAGTTCTCTGCACCATTTCAAATTTTGTAGCACTTATTCAAAAGAATGACATTTAGAAATATGACCTTTTTGTGTTTGTGGGTGACTTTAGGAAAAATTATCAGGGTGGGAAGAATACATTTAGGGTGTTTTTATTGCTGGCAAATGTCAAAACAAGTCAAATTTGACCTCACGTATGTAAAGGTTAACAACACATGGACTTAATGCTGTTTCCTTCTTGACGAAAATATAAAAGTACGGCCACAAGCAAACACAACCCAAATAACTAGTTTGTGAATCAAGTCATCAAAAATACTTGACATCATTGCCGCGCCTTCAAGTCATCTTGTCTCCTCCTGACACCTTTGTAACTCATGGCCGGGGACCATGTAATGTAGGATCACAAGTTGTCTATAAAAGTACGCAGAAAGATACTTTAAGAGTAACCAATGGTGCTGTGACTTCCAAACCTTTCAGGCTTTGGCATCACACGTTTAGATGCATTTCATTCATTTTCAATGTGATGTTGCACTTTCACCTGTTTACTTCTCAAGGTGTCCCCCTTATTGTGTGGAAATGAATTTAATTTATTTGATTTGTTATAAAAATGAATCATGATGTATTTATTGGACACTTGTTTGTGGTTTTAAAAATTAAAAAAAATAACTTGTTTTATGTGTTGAGAAATGTTTGCAATAAATACACTTAACTGGACCGTCGTCAAGGGGACAGAAATATGACTGGCCGTTTACTTTTAAAAATGAACTCTGTGTATTGCTTCTTATAGTTTCTGTGGACAATGTGTTAATATTCTAAAGATCTCCATTTGAGAAACTACACAGCATGTTCAGATGCTGTACAAAATAGAATCTAGTGGCTATACTTTAGCTCTGTATGCATGTTTATTGTGTCAGCAGGTCAGTTGGATTCTTTGGGATACAGCGTTTGTGAGAAAACTCAGGAAATAAAGTTGATCAGCTGATCAAATTGAACATTTGAATAGATATTTTATGTCTTGAGTGAAGATTCACTTTGTCTACATAGGTCACATGGGCACTGTGCATTAATTTACCTTTGAGGGATTATAATCAGCAAATTACACACACACACACACACACACGCACACATATATATGGAGTACCCAGAGAAAACCCACGCAGGCCCGGGGAGAACATGCAAGATCCACACAGGAAGGCTGGAGTCGGGATCGGATCCACGACCTTTGCACTGTGAAGTCGACACGCTGCATGCGGCCCGCTGGTCCAGTGGTTAGCTTGTCGATTTCACAGTGCAAAGGTTGTGGATCCGATCCTGGCTCCGGCCTTCCTGTGTGGAGTTTGCATGTTCTCCCCGGGCCTGCGTGGGTTTTCTCCAGGTACTCCGGTTTCCTCCCACATTCCAAAAACATGCATGGCAGGATGATTGAACACTCAAAATCGTCCCTATGTGTGAGTGTGATCGCGAATGGTTGTTCATCTCTGTGTGCCCTGTGATTGGCTGGTAACCGGTTCAGGCTGTCCCCGCCTACTGCCCAAAGACAGCTGGGATAGGCTGCTCCAGCACCCGCCACAATAAATTTAGTCAGCAACGGTTTATTTTTCACTTTAAAATGTACATTCATGCATTCCATGCTAGAATATGGCTATAATTTTCTGGATCGATATACTGTAGATAGATCTTTATAGAGATTTATTTATACAGGTACTAACAGAAACAACACGTGTCAAAGCACAGCACATTTATTTGCCATTACTTGTTCTCATTATACCAATTCATATTAATAACAATACAGAGATGATTATTCATTTTGTGTTCGTTTATTCGTATGTTTTTATAAACATAACTCAAAGAGAACCGAGCAAATTGTAGTACCTGTACTGTACTGTATCTGAGAAAACCCCATTTGTTTTATCTTGTTGCACTTCATTGTCGATTTGTATTTAGATACTTTATTTTATTAATTAACTCGATATGAAGCTTTAGTGCAGATCTGCTGCTTGGGGTGACTGACGCCTCAATTCATCATCACATTGCAGCCAATCAATAGGAGCTCGTTTAATTGTGTGATTTATCAGCCGGGCTGCATCATGACACATTTTCCGTGCATCATCACAACTCTTTGAGAATAAGGCTTTATTATTGTTTGCCCGACTTGGTTTAATTTAATCTGAACTCACCTTTCTCGTTGATTCCCATCACCTATTTCGTCTCGTTTCTTACTAAAACTGCAGACGACCTTTTTTTACATTGGAGCCATAATGCACGGTGTGTTTATAAAATCTTTCGCTGTCTTTCAAATCACCGACTCAACAACACCCTCCCCCACCCCCATCGTCCCTTTGTTGGATGAATAAATCAGAAAAACATATTTTACACCGTTGAATCAATCAGCGAAATGTGGAGCTCATTACGTGAATATGAACAGATTGTCTGATCTCCTAAAGTAATCACACGTTTCCCTGGGCCTTGTCACTTAACTAATGGACAGCAGGCGCCGAGTGACGGAGGAGCCCAATAAATTCACATCAGTCCTACTCAAAAGGCACGAAAAACACACCGTTTTTTCCCCGTAAAGTTTATTGAAAAGGGCGACCGTGGGGGATGCATTCACACATGTCACGTCACCTATGCTTCAGGAATATGTATGACGAAGTCTGAGTTGTGAGTTTGAGACTTCGTGACAAAATTCAAGAGGACCTATGACAAAAAGCTTTCTCCATTTTGAAATGAGATTATTAAATAAATAACTAAATTATTTCATTACATCATTACATGTTTCAAATGCTGAAGAGCGTTTCAAATTTAGGGCACGCTGAACTACTTGCACGTTCCAAAATGTTAACAGGATTTCACATATTCCGCACTCCTAAAATATATTCACGTGAAGGAGATATTAAAAAAAAAAAAAAAATCCGCATGTTTTACTTCGAAACTCATTGAGGACCAGGCACGGTTTCAGGGTTTTGTTTCCCTCTCTTAGAGGTAAAAGTGGAAAGTGGGCTGAGAAAATAATGTATTTATATATTTTAGAATATCAATACAATTCTGGAAGGCTTAACTGGTGTGGCTGCTTAACGTAGATTTTTGGCGGGGATATAACACCCCCTAGCCCCGATGTATTGCGCCGTCCGTGTTCAGGACACCTGAGGAACTATCTTCCAACGTTTCCCACATTTTGTAATTTTCATATTTCCACATTTTAAATGACAACATTCACAAATTCCTGCCGACATCTGCACATTTCTTGACCACTTTAAACCATTCCAACGTTAAACTGTTTATCTTATTCAGGACGTCCGCCTATATAAAACTACAGTACTTATCAAATTCCGGATTTTCACAATAAAAGTCCCACTTTAAAACAGATGTATAGATTTACATCATCGTTTCACATTTCTTTACCTATTCTAACCCATTCCAACTTGCAACATTTAATTCAATGACTTCCCCAGCATTGACTTCTGCATTCGTACCTTCAGAAATTGCATTCCAATATTGTAATATTTAGATTTATAATGTTTATGTGAAATTGGAATAGATAGATAATGACTTTAATATCCTCAAATAATATATATAGGGTTGGTATATCCTACCAACCCTACAAAACCAAGTTGCGGATATCAATGTAAAATTGTACACTTGGGCCTCAAACATCAGACGTCTGCCTTTATAGTCCATAGCTGACCCCTGGTGGTGAAAGGAAATGTGTTGAGAGATTCACAGAAAAGGCAACGGAAACTAGAGAAAAGAAAGAAAGATATTTTATATTATCTTTCATGTTAATCTTTGATTTTATTTTTTTATCTATTGCTGTATAAATATATTTTTAATATAAAACACTATAGTCGCTGATATATATACATAGATAGATAGATAGATAGATAGATAGATAGATAGATAGATAGATAGATAGATAGATAGATAGATAGATAGATAGATAGATAGATAGATGTAACGGAGTGAAACATTAAACGTATTAAATTATGACGGAAGTGACAGTTGTGACCCTCGTCTCACACACACGCAAACACACACACACACACACACACACTGAAAGTTCGGTTCCATATCACAATTAAACTCAACAAGAAATGAGCTCACAGGGTAACATCGGTATATAATTTTAAGTGAAATTTATTTCACCTTATTTACGATAACGATGGATAATATTATATAGTACTTCCTGGATTTAAAAATGACCATATGGGTGCGCTCTTGTCAAGCTATAGTTTGGGCCGATGTGGGCGGGACATAGCACTATTGGAAGCACGTGATGAACGAATGAAGACACGTTAAGAAATTTTGAAAAGCGTTTTCTGGGTCTGTTCAGACAGTGAGTCTGTTCACCTCACAAGAACCTTTGCTAGATTCTGTGCTCGTTACGAGTTGGCAACCTGGCTGTTAAAATGGCTCCCTCGGAACTCGGTGAGGTTTCTCCCATCCAAAATGTTGTGTCATTTTTTTTAAACAATGAACTTACTCCCCCAGCGATGTTTGATTTGTGTTGCTAACTTTGCTAACATTAGCAGACGTGTTCGCGTCTTGTGCGAAATGTTTACTTCCGT